GGTGGGAGCCGGTCTGTATGTGGGATCCGAATCCTCGGCGGGAGCGCCGCCGCGCTCCCGAGCAGCGCACTGTAGCAGTGCGCCACCGGGCCGGCCCTACTTGTTTTTAATATGTACATTTGGCCAAGGATAAGAATGGCCACTGGACAAAGAACGCAAGAAAGAAAAACTCAGGCTAACTGCAGAATGTCACTAGGCTACCCCACGAGTCTGTACACAAGTCACTGGGATCTGGTGGGATTTAGGAGAAATCAACTCCAACAGCCAGTGTCTCCATTTCCACGAGACCTCTTTTTTAGGATCAAGAGGTCCGTAGAAGTGGAGCAAGAAAGAGCAGGGCCTGGAGGGGGTACACCTTTTGACTCAGCCTCTCTCTGTACAGGCTGCTGAGAAGGGTCACATGGACGTTTGCTCCCTCCTGTTGCAGCACAGCCCAGCCCTGAAGTCTGTCCGGGATCGAAAGGCACGGCTAGCATGTGACCTGCTGCCCTGCAACAGCGACCTGCGGGACCTGCTGGCCAGCTGAGTCACCACGCTCCTGTCCCGGGCTGCCCTTGACGGGTGCACAGACTAGCTCTTCAAGCACCTGCTTTGGTCAGCATCCGTGCTGCAGGGTGGGAAACTGAGGCCAGAAAATCCACAAAGAGCTCCCTTGTGGTCACTGTGGAAGGGAGGGAGTAGATCTGGTGGGGCTAAAAGTGTTTAAGCCTGGACAGATGATCATATTCTAAATTAGTTCATGAGGAAACATCTATCCATTTGGAAAAAAATAAAGTTATATCCTTATCTCATCCCACACACAAAGATAGATTTCAAGATTAAAGACCTAAATATAAAAACATAAAACTACTAGTGTTAGTATTAGAAGAAAACATGGAATGTGTGACAAAAGCTGCTTTCTAGCTAAGTGACCTTGGTGTAAGTCGCTTTACCTGTCTGTCCCTCAGTTTCCTCACCTGTAAAGTGAGAATGATTATAATAGGGCCTGCCTCAAGGTCATTGTGGGGACTAAATGAGTGAGTACAGGATGTGGAGAGCACTTAGGGGTGTGCCCGGCACACGGCAGGCAGCGTGCAAGAGCGCCCACTTCCCCAAAACTTGGTCAACGCTTGCTTTCATTCCGTAATTTCATTAATTTTAACAACCTTATAGGTAGAAAGTGCTGTTGCTTTATTTTGCGTTGCTAATTACTAGTGAGGTTGAACACCTGCCTTCTGTGAACTTACTGTCCATGCCCATTTAAAAATTTCTTTCTTTTGGGCCGAGCCCGTGGCGCACTCGGGAGAGTGCAGCGCTGGGAGCGCAGCAGTGCTCCCGCCGCAGGTTCGGATCCTATATAGGGATGACCGGTGAGCTCACAGCGCTCACTGGCTGAGCGCGGTGCGGCCGGTCTCAAAAAGGACAAAAAAAAATTCTTTCTTTTTATTGACTCATAGGAATTGCTTATATTTTGGATATTGATCCTCTGATAAATATATATATGTATATATATATATTTTTTTTCATGCATCACTTGTCTTACCTTTATTGGCATCTGTTCATGGAAATTGGTGCAGCCACTGTACGTGGCAGTTTGGCAATATCTATTTATTTTTATTTATTTATTATTTTTTTTAAGATGACCGGTAGGGGATCTTAACCCTTGACTTGGTGTTGTCAGCACCACGCTCACCCAGGTGAGCTAACCGTCTATCCCTATATGGGATCTGAACCCCCGTGGCCTTGGTGTTATCAGCACCACACTCTCCCAAGTGAGCCATGGGCCGGCCCCTGGCAATATCTATTTAAACGAGCAGGGCCAGTTACTTGATTTCTCAGTACCTACCTAGAGAAATATTTGTCCGTGGTTGCAAGGATGTTTATTTACAGAGGCATTTATGAAGATGTGCATTGGAGCATGGGGTGTAATATTAAAAAGAAAAAAAAAGTGGTGTTAACCTCAATGCTGCCAAATAGGGGAGGTGAAGTTCTGCAAACACATAACGGGCACAGCACAGCGGAGAGCAGCGTGTGCGGACGTGGGAAGGCTGCCAAGTTGTGTCCACAGTACGATGCCTCAGAGCAAAATATGTCTGCAGAAATGTGGGTGGACATGCACACAATACACAGAGAAAAAGACAGGAGGATGCACATTAAACTGGCACCCATGGTTTTCCCTGGACTTCTGTGGCAAGAGGGGTTAGTTAAGGAAGTCTTGAGCTTTATGTTTATATTTGGATTTTTTAATAAGAAATCATTTTTAAGGGCCGGCCCGTGGCTCACTTAGGAGAGTCTGGTGCTGATAACACCAAGGCCACGGGTTCGGATCCCTATATAGGTATAGCTGGTTAGCTCACTTGGGAGAGCGTGGTGCTGACAACACCAAGTCAAGGGTTAAGATCCCCTTACTGGTCATCTTTATAAAAAAAAAAAAAATCATCTTTATTTTATTTTGGCACCTGGCCCATGTGGGATCTGAACCCTTGACCTTGGTGTTAGAACACCACACTCTAATCCACTAACCTAACCACCCAGCCCAAGAAATCATTTTTAAAGTCAGAGTTAACACTAATTTGTTTTATGTGGAACAAACTAGCTTTCTGCTGAGAATGTCAGATGAAACCTGTTGATGCAAAATGCCCTTTCCCTTAAATGTTGAAGGCCAGGAGTTTTAGAGTCAGGGTGGGCAGTGGAGTCCAGAGCTCAAGTCTGACTTTTTCTTGTCTGTTTGTCCCACTCGAGTTTAGGTAACTCTCTCCTGCCTCATAACCAAAAGCTTTTATCTGAAAAAAACACCCTAAAGCATAAGAACTGAGTTTCTTTAAAAAGCTCTATGTTTCCCGGGCCGGCCCGGTGGCGCACTGGATAGTGCGCCGCTTGGGAAGTGCGGCGGCGCTCCCGCCCGAGGGTTCGGATCCCACATACAGACCGGTTCCCGCTCACTGGTTGAGCGAGGCGCGGGAGCAACGCCGAGGGTTGCAATCCCGTTGCCGGTCCCCGGTCCGGTACGGGGGCAACACTGAGGGTTGCGATCCGTTGCCGGACACGGAAAAAAGACAAAAGACAAAAAAAAAAAAAAAAAGCTCTATGTTTCCCTAAGTTCTCTCAAAACTTGGAAGCACTTCCCAGAAGCCAGCTCTGTAGTGGTACCGTTGGCAGCCTTTTAGGGCCATTGGCCGTTCTTCACCCACAGCTCTCCCTGCTCTGTTCTGGTCATCTCTGCTCATGTTGCACGGATTTTGGAGTCTCATTTACCAGCTATCTAATTTCCTTTCAAAGGTCAAGGCAGAGTTCAAGGCGCAGCTGGGTGAAGGGCATGCACAGCTTCTTAAGGAGAATTAGGAAATTTGATTTTGGTGGCTCGAGACAGCTTGCTGTGCAGCTGGATTCCATGGTCACCATTACATACTGGGAACTGGAGAGGATCTCAGTCTCCCCTTCCCTGGGGAAGGCCACACTCTGTACCTAGAGAGCATCTGGTGGGGACCTGTGAGAAGGGGCATAGCAGACTTTTCCAGAGGCATGAGGACTGATGATAGGTGAGGCTTGGCTCCCAGTGGGGGGGCAGCATAATACACTGGCTCTCCGAGTGGTAGGGAGAAGGAGGGGACCCCTGGGAGAGGAAACCATGAAGCATAGGGAAGGGCAGCCTAGAAGCTGGCAAATGGATGGGGAAGTCTCATGAAGCCTGGTTTCCTTGCGTAGATGCCATGAGCATTCCTGAGGCAGTAGGTCAACCTCTTCTCCTGTCCTTCCCAGGGTCCTCTTCAGGATTCTGGCCTCCTTGTGCTAGGGCAGTTGGGTTGGGTCTTTCGGGTTTCCCAGGCAGCCAGACCTACAACAGTATGGAGGCTCAGGCTGGACTTTTCTATAAGAGGAGTCTGTCTGAACTTCGGAGAGTGGGGAAGGTTTCTGCCTGAAACTGAGCGAGTGGCCTGGGCACCCAGGCCATGTGTTGGTTAAATGACTCCTGAGTAGATGGGGGTGGCGAGGTGCAGGATAGTGGGTGTCTGAGGATGTAGTCGACTCAGCTGCAGACAGCTCCTTTTTCCTGCCTCAGTGGGCTACATTCCCAGACTGGTATTTTGGTTGCTGTGACAGAATCCCAGAGTCATCTGGCCAAGACACAAGTCTGTCCTTCCCTGCTCCCAGCCCCCACAGCTCTCCTATAAAAGGGCCGAGCAGTTCAGCTCCTGTCACGGGGGGGTGTGAAGAACAGGGGGGACCATGGACTTCGTGAGCATTCGGCAACTGGTAAGGACGTGGGGCAGAGGGTGGAGGTGGCCTGAGGAGGTGGTCTCTGCAGGATGATGTGGCCTGGCAAGGGGAGGACAGGCAGCTGCCTTTCTGTGGCTGGGGGTCAGGTTTTAGTAGCAAGGAGGCAGGCAGTTCTTTTCTGGTCTGATTCTCAGGGGAGGTGGTAAGGGGGTTAGGATCAAAGAGGAAAGTCGAATAGGAAGGAGTTGGGTGATGTAGACATGAAAATCCTTGAGTTTAGTAAGTTTCACCTGGACTGTGATGGCGAAACATAAGCAGGAGACAGCAGGGTACCTTGGAAGACACAGGTAGAGCAGGGGTCTTTGTTAAACTCGAGACCATGATAGTCTCTGCTCTGGAGATGGGCCAGAGGGTCTGGCTGCTGTGGCAGCAGACGGGGAGAAGGGTGCTCATGCCCTCCCTGAGCAGTGACAGAAACAGGGATGCCAGTGACACTTTGGAGTGTCAGTTTTGGTGAAGTGGGACACAGAGGGCATGACACTCAGGATGTGGCACTGCCCCTCAAGCTCCACTGTGAGCCGGTGGCCCCAGCTGGCCACAGCCCACTGTCAGCTCTGCTGGGTGGAGGACTGCAGCGCCGGGAGCATTAGGTCACCAGGGCTGCTTTGCGAGGGAGGATGACTGCTTGGCCAGAAGTCCTAGGCTCTGTTATCCTTCATTCCAACCTTTTCTCTCGCGCGCATGCTCATTCCTCTGTGCTCTCCTGTTCCTGAACTCCTGGGGGTGGGGCTGGGGAGGAAGAATGGATATTTGCTGTGTAGGCTCTGCCCCAAGCCCAAGTCCCAATAACTCGTGTAAAGGTAAGTTGTGATGTAGAAACAGCTTCACAAAGAGCCAAGAGTTGAACCCAGGAATTTAGGATTTTACCCAAGGGGCATCTCTTCTGTCCCTCTGAGCTTGGCTTCGGGTGGCAGTATGGTGTGATCTGGTAGGAATCTAGGAGCACAGCCCCTGAGGGGAGTTGAGGTGTCATGTGCCTGAGGCTACCTGGGCACCAACCCAGAAATATAAATAGATGTGGTCTCATGCCCCCCACCTTGAGTTCCTGCTGACAGGAGAAGGGTAGGCAGTGGCCAGTTATCCCCTGGACCTCAGCTGACACCACAGTTGGTGAGAGCCAGCAACAGCCATGGGTGTCGGGGAGCTTGCCCAAGCTTTGAGAAGGAAGGTCAGGCCAACCCTTAAATCCACAACACTGACCTTTGCATGTCAGCTCTTGTCAGAGATCTCCCTGCAACCGCACAACTCTAATGTTTATGGGTTCCTCCAATTTTCCTGATTCTTTATCCACATCCTGTTCCTACAGGTAAGTGGAGAAGGAGTTGAAAGGAAGGTGTCGGGATTTGGATGTGGAGTTTCTGATCCTGGAGGCTGGCCTAGTGACTGGAGGCTGGGCCCCCAAGAGGCTGTGGCCTGGGAGAAGCTGAAGTTGGAAGAAGAGAAGAAGGAGAAAGTGAGAGAGATGCTGGGGCAGGAGGGGCGGCTCATCCCGGGTGGGCAGCCCTGAGCAGTGAGGGCCTTGGAGGGCCGATGGTCTGGGGTCTGCAGCCTGAGCAGCTGGTGTCTCCTGTGGGCAGGGCAGAGGAGGATTAGACTGCCCAGTGGCCTGCCACCAAGGCTCCCACAACCAGTGGCTGATGGCTGGCACGGTCTTGTCTTCTGCCCACTTTCTGCCCCAGCTCGAAAGGCTTAAAAGTTCCAGACTTAATCTGCAGAATCTGGCTGACTTGAAAAACTTGGTTCAAAGACGAAGAGAAAAGCGACTGAGACGCAGAGTCCCCCCCAGGGAACCTGAGCCCGTGGTTAAGGTGGGTTAGAAGTCAGGCTTGAGTTCCAGAGCAAGAGCCTCCCCTCCCTGTGGGGGGCTTGGGAAGAGTGGATGCTGCGGGCCGCGGTGCAAAGCCAGTGCCCGAGGAGGCGCGGGGCAGTCCATCACAGAGCCCCTGTAGCAGAGCCCCGCTAGGGCTGCTGTGACGAAGTACTGCAGACGGGGTGGCTGAGATGCAGAAACTTGCTGTCCCACAGTTCTGGAGGCTGGAAGTCCAGGTCAGGCCGTGGGCAGAGCTGGTTCCTTCCAGGGGCTGTGAAGGAGAATCCATTTACGCCTGTCTTCTAGCTTCTCGTGGTCGTGGTGGCCTTTGGCGTTCCTTGGCTCCTAGATGCATCACCCCATCCCTGCCTTTTGTTAACATGACGTCCTCCCTGTGTGTGTCTGTGTCCAAATGTCCCCTTTGTATAAGGACAGCAGTCATCTTGGATAGGGGCCCACTCCACTCTAGTATGACCTCATCTTAATCAATTACATCTGCATCCTGTTTCCAAATAAGGTCACATTCTGAGCTACTGAGGGTTAGGACTTCAGCGTACCAGAGTACTTCAAAAAGTTTATGGAAAAGTGGAATTGAAAGATGTGACCCTTCCCATGAACTTTTGGAAGTGCCCTTGTATGAATGTGAGGGGACCCAAGTCAATCCATAACACATACACCCGATGTCTATTCAGTCAGAATCTCCTTGACGGTGGCGGGGGGTAGGGGGGACTTAAAGACAAAACCACACTTGTACAAACCAACAGTGCACCGGCCCCCAGTCAGCTGCTTGGGAACCCCTGGGCTGGGTGAAGCTGTGTTGTCACAGGTGCTGGCAGTCTCAGGGAGTAATTTGGTCATCCTTCAATTCCCCCAGCTGCAGTCCCAGGTCCAGCTGGAGCCTGTGGACCTGGAGATGTTCCTGAAGGCAGCTGCTGAGAACCAAGAGGCCCTGATTGACAAGTACCTGACAGATGGAGGGGATCCCAATGCCCATGACAAGGTAGAGTAGTGGGGCGAATGGGTCTGCAGCAGCCGCAGCTATGGGAGGACAATCTTCAGCCTAGAAAGCTGCGGCTCTTCTATCTTACGGGCATGAGGCCAGTGGTGCCTCCTGAGCAGGAGGGAGAGGTCCTTTGCTTGATGGGGGAATGGGCAACTCTATTCAGGGACCTGGTGCTGGGACCGGGCCTCTAGGGATGGCTGTGTTCCCTCTGCCTGATCTCCTATCTCTGCCCCCAGCTCCACCGCACGGCCTTGCACTGGGCCTGTCTGAAGGGTCACAGCCAGCTGGTGAACAAGCTGCTGGCGGCAGGTGCCACTGTAGATGCTCGGGACTTGGTGAGAACCAGGGAAGGCCCATCCTCGTGGCAGACACCCTCCTTAACATCCCAGCAGGTCCGAGTGCTTTGGTGCTTTTGTTTTGCAGCTGGACAGGACACCCATGTTCTGGGCCTGCCGTGGAGGACACCTGGACATCCTCAAACAGCTGCTTAACCAGGGAGCCAAGGTCAACGCCCAGGACAAGGTGAGGGGCACACTGCCTTGGGTGGTCTGTTAGAAGTGGGTGAGCTGCACATGGGGGTCAACGCTGTTCCTGGTGGGGAGGGAGCACAGCCCTGCGGGGTTGGGAGGCGGCTTCCACAGTGCAGACCCCACACCGATCCCCACTCGCTCTTAGATCTGGAGCACCCCCCTGCATGTGGCAGTGCGCACAGGGCATTGCGACTGCCTGGAGCACCTCATTGAGTGCGGAGCCCACGTTGATGCGCAGGATAAGGTAGGCAGTTGGCCTCTCCACCTTGGGGTAGCTCCACCAGGGGACAGTGACTGAGGAGCCTGATCCTGGTCCAGAGGTGCTGTCTGCGTAGTGAAAGCTCCTGCAACCTGACTTTTACTGCATGGTGGCCATCAAGTGAGCAGGAGGAGGAAGGTAGTAGCATGACATCCCCCTTCTCAACAGGAAGGGGACACAGCTCTCCATGAGGCTGTGCGGCATGGCCGCTACAGAGCCATGAAGCTGCTGCTGCTGTACGGAGCCCAGCTGGGTGTGCAGAACACGGTGAGTATGAGCAGGCCAGCCCAGCACCCTGTGCCCAGGTGGCTGGGTGGAGCTCCTGAGGACAGCAAGGACTGACCCAGCTTCTTGTTTCCAGGCCTCCATGACCCCAGTGCAGCTGGCACGAGACTGGCAGCGGGGCATCCAGGAAGCACTGCAGGCCCATGTTGGGCATCCCCGCACCCGGTGCTGATGACAGCCCTGCAGGGTCCCTTCCAATTCCCATCCCATCCCCTTACCCCCACACCTGCACACTCTGTGGTTCTTGCCCCCTCAGTCCTGATTCCCCTCAGGGCTTTGCTTCCTCAGGCCTCCAAGGCGGCTCCATCAGAGCTGAGGAGCAGCGGCGAGCCCAGCAGGTAGAGAAAGCAGGCCTCCATGGCTTCAAGCGTTGAGGGGGCCTCATTGCCTGCTAGGGCTGGAGCTGGGAAGGCTGAGGACCACGGGGTAGCATAGAGCACAGTGGGTCCAGACAAGGGCCAGGGGGGTGGAGTGCGAGCTATGCATTGAACAGAAAGTGAGCAGACGTAAGCCCAGAGCTACCCAGGGCTGGGTGTAGACTTCCTCAGTGTCCACAAATCCTCGGTCTAGGAGATTGTGCCCTTGCCCTCCAAAGGGTTAGTCTCCAGCAGGTGGTCATTCAGCCCGTGGCCAACAGCTACTGTCCAGGACATACAAGAGGCAACCAAAGTAGGCCACACAGGTGCCAGGCATTTGCGCAGCTGGCCAGTGCTCGTGGGCAGGGGCTTTTCCAGGGTACTCCATTGCTATCAGCAGCAACCCTGATAGCATCTGGAGCAGCTCCAGACAACTTTGGTCTTAAGGACTCTGGAGGTGGGTTCTGGCAATCTGGAGGGGGCTGTTCAGCAGGTTTGAGGCCCCACAGCAATAGAAGTCCAGTACCAACCAGGTTGCTGCAGAAGCCTTTAAGACCAATGAGCTGAAGCTAACATTTTAGGAAAACCCTGTGCCCATTCTGTTCACAGGTTCTGGTCAGACCTGCCTGCTGCCCTGTTGATGGCTGGCTGGTGGCCCTTCCTATAGGGGTGAAGTGCCTGGGTGCTGGGGATTGCTTGTGGCCCACCCAAGTCTTGGGGTGGTGGCCCGTAACCCTAGTCTGCCTGAGGCTCTCATGTTCCCCTAGTACTGGAGCTTGAGCTCTTGCCTGGACCCTGCAACTGCAGCCCACTCTGCCTGATCCCTCCTGAGGGCAGGACACAGGGGGGCTCTGAACTCAGCCCGCAGGGAAAGCAAGGGAAACCAAAGAGCACAACTCCCCCTGTCCCTTGTCTGCTAAGTGGTGGATAACGAGGACCCAACTTCACACAAGCTCCCTAAAGGCACCTTCCTCTTTCACCGTGGTTATTTATTTTGGTGGCTGGCTGGTATAGGGATCGAATCCTAGACCTTGGTGTTACCAGCACCACGGTCTAACCACCTGTGCTAACTGGCCAGCCCACTTTCACTAGTTTCAAGTCTCACTGGTGCAGACCTGTACCACTGGCAGGGCTGAGTCCTTAAATGCCAGAAAATGAATCTTAAAGAGCTGTGCTCTAAGTTGAGTAAAGAGCTAAAGGATGAAGGCTCAGCTTCCCGTCATGTGGTTCTGGGTTGAAATCCATTTTGCAGAGGTTATTTATAGTCTAAGTTTGGTGGCCTTATGGGACCACAAACAAGGCTATTGTTACTATGTGAAAAAGCCCACTAGTGCCCCACACCAGGGCCACCCACCTTTCCACGGGCAGCTCCTGCACTGTGGTGACAGAGCCAGTGTACATGCTGATGCCATGGGCAAAACAGGCACTCAAAACAACGGAAACGACAAATCCTCATCTAGAAAATGGGGACACTTAAGTGACAAAAACATTTTTATACGGATAGTTTTTTGTTCATTAAAACTGGTTGATTATCCAGCACAGCCTTGTCTTTTCTGGGCCGGGAGGAGCCAGTACATTGGGCACTAGGGACTGCCTGGCAGGGCCCAAGGCATTGTCCTCAGCAGCAAAGCTCAAGCCTTTCAAGCTTGCTGGCCTGACAGCAAGACAGGCTGTAGGTGCGGTCCTAGTACTTCGCTCTTGTGCTCAAATCATCTCTGCTCATTGACGGACAAGTTCAAAGAGCACTGGTTCTCAGTCTCAGCTGCTTATTAGAATCACCAGGGAAGGTGTTAAAAGCCCTAATGTCCAGGGCCAGCCGTGGCTCACTCGGGAGAGTGCGGTGCTGATAACACCAAGGCCCCGGGTTCGGATCCCATATAGGGATGGCCGGTTAGCTCACTGGCTGAGCGTGGTGCTGACAACACCAAGTCAAGGGTTAAGATCCCCTTACCGGTCATCTTTTAAAAAAAAAAAAAAAAAGATCCCCTTATCAGTCATCTTATATATATAAAAAAAAAAGTCCTAATGTCCAGACTGATTAAGTCAGAAGCCCTGAGGGTGGGTCTAGGTATTGGCGTTATCATGCAGACAACATGCTTGTCTAAGTCTACATAGGAAAGCCTAAGGAAATCTACAAAAAACCAAAACACCCACCTAGAATAAGCAAGACCTCAAGATACAAGAAAAACATACAAAAGTCTATTTCTACCTACTAGCAATGAACATGTGGACACAAAAATTTTAAAAATAGAACCATTTGCAATTTAAATATTAAATAAAATACTTAAATCTAACAAAACATGTAAGGACTTGTATGCTGAAAACTACAAAATACTTATAAATGAAATCAAAGATTTAAATGCATGGAGAGGGCCGGCCCATGGCTCACTCGGTAGAGTGCGGTGCTGATAGCACCAAGGCCACGGGTTCGGATCCCATATAGGGATGGCCGGTTAGCTCACTGGGTGAGTGTGGTGCTGACAACACCAAGTCAAGGGTTAAGATCCCCTTACCGGTCATCTTTAAAAAAAATAATAATAAATAAATAAATAAATAAATAAATAAATAAATAATGCATGGAGAGGGGGCTGTCTGGTTAGCTCGGCTGGTTAGAGCACAGCCCTATAATTGCAAGGTCATGGGTTCAGATACCTGTACTGGCCAGCCCGCCAAAACCAAAACAAACCAAAACAAACAAAAAAACCCACATAAAAATAAATAAATGGAGAGACATACCATGTTAAAGGTTTGGAAGATATAACACAGTAAAGATGTCAATTATCACCAAATTGATATACAAGTTTAACAGTTCTTATCAAATTCCCAACAGAAGTTTTATAGATGTAGATAAGGTTATTCTAACAATCACATGGGGAAAAAAACGTATATATACACACACGCTTTTTTTTTGGTGGCTGGCTGGTACAGGGATGGAACCCTGGACCTTGGTGTTAGCACCACACTCTAACCAACTTGAGCTAATCAGCCAGCCCAAAATTTATAGCTAAAACAATTTTGAAAATGAATAAAGTGGGAGGAGGAATCAGTCTACCTGATTTCAACTTGTTACATAGCTACAGAAATCATAAGCGAGTGTGGTACTTGCAGGAGGAAGGACATATGGATCAATGGAACAGAGTAGAAAACTCAGAAGTAGGATCACATAAATATGCCCAACTGACTTTTGACAAAGGTACAAAAGCAATCAATGGAGAAAGACAGCCTTTTCAACAAATAATGCTGGAGCAATTGGACATCTATAGGCTACCAAAAAAAAAAAAAAAGAACCTTGCAGTCTTTTACCTTATGCAAAAATTAACTCAAAGATCCTTGATCAATGTCTTACACCTTATGCAAAAATTAACTCAAAATGGATCAAGAATTTAAATGTAAAACAAAACTATAAAACTTTTAGGAAAAAACAAAAAACTAGGGTCTAGGACTAGGTAAAGAATGCTAAAAGCACTATCTATTAAAGAAAAATTGGTAAAATGGACTTTATCAAAATTAGAAACTTTTGCTTTGTATAAGATCCTGTTAAGAGGATAAAAATACCAGCTGCAGACTGGGAGAAAGTATCTGTAAACCAAAAATCTGCCAAAGAACTAGTATTTAGAATATATAAAGTGCTCCAATCCAATTAGGAAATAGCAAAAGACATGGACATTTCACCAAAGTGAAAACACATGAAAAGATGTCCATCTCTGGCCATTAGGGAAATGCAAATGAAAACCACACTGAGCATCACTACACACCCATCAGAACAGCGGAAGACGACAGTGACACCACCAATGCTGGCCAGGATTTGGAGAAACTGAATTACTCCTACACTGCTGGTGAGATTGTATAATTGTATAGCCACTATGATAAAGTTTGGCAGTTTCTTTAAAAAACTAAATATGCAACAACCATATGACCTAGTAGTTGCATTCCTGGCATTTGCCCCAGAGAAAACTAATCTTTACACAGAATCCTGTACACAACATTCACAGCAGCTTTATTTGAAATAGCCAAAAACCAGAAACCCAGATGCCCTTCAACAGGACAATGGGTACACCATGGAATACCACTCAGCAGTGAAAAGGAACTGTTGACATACGTGACCTGGATGAACCTCCAGAGAACTACACTGAGTGACAAATTCCAACCCCAATGGTTATATACTGTATGATTCCATTTATACGACATTCTTGAAATGACAAGATAATGGAGATGAAGAACACATTAGTGGTTGCAGGCTGGGGGGTGGGTGGCTCTACAGGGGTAGTCTGAGGGAGATCCTTGTGGTGATGGGACAGTTCTGCATTCTGACTGCAATGGTAGTTACATCTACACATGCGACAAAATGTAGAGCTGTACACCCACGCTGCACCGGTGTCAAGGTCCTGGTTTCAATATTGTATTATAACTATGTAAGATAAAATCCCCATAGGAAACTAGATGAAGGGGGCATGGAACCTCTGTCTTTGCAACTTCCTATGAATCTGTAATTATTTCAAGATAAAAAGCTAGGAAAAAAAGAAAGCAACAGCTCTAAGTGCAACTTGGTATCCTGGATTGGATCCTGCAACAGAAAAAGGATGTTGCTGAAAAAGATTTATACTGTCCAAAGACAGTCTGTACTTTAGTTAACAGTATTGCACCAATGTTACTCTTTTAGTTGTGATAAATGTAGCAAGGTTATGTAAAATGTTAACATTAGGAGAAGCAGGTGAAGGGTGTATGGAACTCTTCTGTGAAGCTAAAACTATTTCACCAATAAAACCAGGATGCCCAGACTGATTAAATCAGAAGCCTGGATATGGGCCCAAGTTACCAGCAGCTTTCATTTGCCAGGTGATTGCAATGTGCAGGCTGGGTTAAGAACCACTGTTCTGAAGAGAGGTGATTTTAAAGTATGTTTTCCACCTGGGTTTGCTCTTTGAGCATATTCCTTGAGAACAATTTCTAAGCAAGCCACTATTCTTCTGGCCTTCAGTTCCATTTATAAAGACTGAAATTCCTTTGAGAAAGGTTCCAGAAATCCTCCCTCTCTACCCTATCTATGATCCTATGTCCCTGTGATAGCCCAGTTTCCACACAGCTGAAGAACTGTGGAAAGAAAATACAGGCAAACTAGAAGAAAAAGACAAGACCTTCTCATTCCCATGTCTCTAAAACTCTGCAGCTAGAAACAGAAAAGAAAGCAAATAACTTGAAAAGTTTCAGAGATATAAGAAAAACTTGTTTTTTTAAAAGAAAGGTAATGAGGATCCACCTGGTTCATGAATAACCCTTCCCTCCCGGGCTGCTCTCTACGCACATCACAGCCACACCGCACCTCCACGGAGGCCTACGTGGGAGGGATAACACGGGTGTAACAGGCGGTTACTCTTCCCTGGGATCAGACAACAGAGAAAGGACTAGATGCAGCATAAAGATCCCTTCCTCCCATGCGTGACCTCTTCTTAAAACACAGAAACTGACAGTACTGTCAGCAGCAAGTAAGCGAGGCAGACAGAGGAGAAGCAGAGGAGCAGGCCACGTGGGAAGTGGCAGCCCGGCCTCCTCGCAGCCACGGGGGCCCAGTCTGCTTACTCGGGGCTCTGGAAGGGATCAGAAAAGCAACCTCCACAGGAGGGAGCAGGACTAGAAGGACAGGCTCCTGGGTAATCGTGCTGCTAGGTTTGGCACAGGGGAAAGGCTAAGGTGTGTGCTTGGAAACACGGCATCATCAGGGAAGCCAGAAAATACACCGTGGACAAGGCCGCAGATTTGAACCCCTAGCCAAAACTGGTACTCTCGGTTTGCTCAAAAAGTGCTGCCAGCAGCAGAAGTTGGCAAACTAACCACTCACATCATGGCTTGGCCTGAAGAGGTATAAATACACTGCACGGCCATAGTGGAGAAGGGAGAAGGCTGGGCCTCAGAGGCCAGAGATGATAGTCCTTTCAATCCTTCCAGAAACAGGCCTGGAGGGCTGTGCCCCCATCTCCTAAAGGAGGACAGGGCCTGCTGACGCTCCTGGCACTGAGGTCTGGTTCTGAGGAAGCCCAGGACCCACATCTACGAGGGCCATCTAAAACGTGGCCTGGAGGGGCAGGGACAGGCTGGCATGAAGCTACTGCTCAGCTCACTCCAGCTCCCCACATGCTCGTCCATTCCCCAGATCTGGGGCTGCCTGGCAAGCAGCTAAACTCCTGGGTTCCGCCCAGGGCTCTCCTCCACTGGGACGCTGGGCCTGCTGTGGTTGGACCCTAGGGGAGAGAGAGAAAAGAGAATTAATATCAAAGCTAGTAAAGGAAGCAGGTCCCATCAAAACCACGTGCTGTCTCCTCTTTAGGACAGGAAGGGGCAGAGGGCCTCAGGGTACCTCAGGTGGTGTCACGGCAGAGCTGGGAGTGATGAGTTAGGAGAAGGGTCAGCCCAACTTGGCCTCACAAGAGAAAATCACTCCGAGGACAGATGCCAACACTGGGAGACAGGGAAGGCAGGGGCTGTGGATTATTTTTTTCCTCGTGGTTGGCTTGCACATGGACCCAAACCCTTGACTTTGGTGTTATAACACCGCACTCTAACCAACTGAACCAACCATCCAGCCCCAGGAGCTGTGGATTTCTAACCCTAAGGGGGCCCAGGCCATTATTCTGAGCAAGAAGAACCTGTCTTCTTTGTCCTTTCTTGCCACAAGACAATAAAGCATCCTGTGCTGTAAGGAAGCTTTATTTTCCAAGGCTGAGGTGTTTCACGATCCCTCCCGACTTCCAGAAAGATGAACACAGCACCCACTCTCCCCCCAATGGAGAAATGCCTCCCAGTCAGGGCAGCTGTCCACAGTAGGAAAGGAAAGCGTGGAGAGAGGGAAAGGGAAGATATTTACCTTAGGTGTTTCCTTAAAACAAAAAATGCTCACTAGTCCACAGTCATTTATCAACTGCAGTTTCCAAATGTGCCAAAGAGGGAAAGTTCTACTGGGAAGGCTAAAGAGAGCACAGAGAGAGAAAGAAGAGGAGACAAGCTGTTGAGGTGAAATGGCAGAGGCTCTCGGCTCCAGGCAGTGCCACGGAGATGGCATGCTCCCTGGGCGGGGGACAGCGAGGCAGCACCACACAGATACTGCGTCCTACTGCTCAGGACGACAGGGGGAAGCCAGGAGGCACAGCGCTGAGGGCTGACTTTCCTTTGGAGAACAGTTCTGTGGATGACTGACATGGAGGACTGACTCAGAATTTGAAATGGTAGGCCAGGGGTCAGAAAACTATTTCTGTAAAGGACCAATATTTTCGCAGTCATGTCATATGGTCTCTCACAACTACGCAACTCCACTGTTGTAACTCAAAGACAGCTGTATACAATCCATAAACAAGTGGATGGGTTCCAATAAAACTTTATTTACAAAAAAACAGGCACCTGGCCAGATTTGGCCTTTGTACCACAGTTTGTTGACCCCTACTGTAGGAAATTTAGAATTAGGCTTCCAAGCATTTCAATAAAGGCACTTCTTTGCCAAGGATCTAGTGCCAAAGTCTCTAGGGAATGGTTCTCATCAGCACTACTTAAGCAAGGCCCCACTCAAATCTCCACATGTGCAGTGATACTAAGCTCTTCTGGGTAGCAAGGTGCCAAGCTAAAGGGAACAAATCGCAGGAAGACCACAGAGTTTAGGCAAGGAACAGAAAGACAGCAGGCAAGCCTCACGGGGGGCAAACACTAGGTTAAACTTAGGTAAAAATAACCAACATTGCGTCCATAGAATAGTAGACAGTCTGTTGTCAAAGACGAAATGACCCACAAAGCCACAATAAATTATTCTCTCATAAGATGTCTCAATGAGCAGCTGAAGTAAAAAGAGAATTTAAAAACATCTCTAGGTAAATGATAAAAGATGCAATTAAGGGAGATCTACCATCCTGGGATTAGTCTGTACCTTGAATGTAACATGTTCAGTCTGAGTAGCAGAGCCAGAAAAAGCTCATGTGTAGGGAAAACCATAACCAAAACGGTCATGTTTTGCAACACAAAAACGACTTGGCTTTTGAGACCCAAGTCTAATGTGACAGTGGGAGCATCTGAACAAGAGGCTCCCTGTGAAATAACATCCCATCACAGTGGGTAAACACAGGGGCTTAGTCAACCCCAGAAGTGGGGTACCACCCGAAAGCACACACTCCATTAGGAGGGACGCAACCCATGCCCACGTCCATGACTAAGCAGCACAGCCTTGCCTTCCGTCTCTGCTTACCAATCAATGCCCAGAGCTGCAGCCATAGGCCTGAGCATCCATCCCCTGCACCTGTCACCTCACAATTCAGAAAGGGCTTTTCTATTATAAAAACATGTTTGCATTCTCAAGCGTGGGTCTGAATAACAAGGGCTGCTCCCTGTGAGGCTGCACAGGCGCCAAATCAGAGTGCCCGGGCCCTCTCGCTGCCTCCCTTCCCTCACCTGTAAACATCCACCTCTCAAAACTACAGGGAAGTTAAATGAGCTAAGACTCGGGAGGCTCCCTACAGAGTAAGTGTTAAGTAAGAGCGCATGGTCCTCACTGCAGGGGGTGGGGTGGGCAAGGCAGGGTGGCGGCCTGCAGTTCCCTCCACAGCCTCTCCAGAAGCCCCTCTGGCTCCTCCAGGAATCCCAAGCCCTGGCACGGCCCTGACCCCAACCTAGGAGCTCAACCAGAAGAAAAGTACCTTCCTGAAAAACAAGAACAAGACAGTTTCCTGACGTTCCCACTCCTATCCACAGTCTTCTTTTCACTTTCCCTCCTTTCATTGTACAGATGAGTCTGTCCTTCACAAGCCCTAGTTGTTATCCCACAGCCCAAAGTCTACTTCCTCCCACATGATCTTCCTGCTCACAGAAGCCCCTGGATGGGACATGAAATATTAGCATGAACTGACCAAACTCCTCAGCAAGCGCCCTTCCAGTCACCAGCCATCCACCTTCTGAGCCACGCCACTGGTGACCTGAACCTTCATTTTCCAAGTGACCTAACCCTAATCCTAAATGGCCAGAACAGTGTCTGAACTTGACTTTATTCCCATTCGCCAACCATTCTCTAACTCAGTCAACCCATTCTAAGAGGCCCTAGAGAAAAATGTTGACTTAATATACTCTACTCTAAGTGCCAGTTGGTCTAGAGCTTGGTGTCATACAAGCTATTGAAAACAGCAAGAAGGGAAAAGGAAGGGGAGAAAAAGGGGGGAAGAAAAACATAGGACTGGGGAGGGTGGAGAGAGGGCAAGCCTGTGTGTGCAGACAGCAGGGACTGGCAAGGGGCCCTCGCACCCCTGGGTCCAGACACCGGCAGTGTGCCACATGGGGCTCACCTGCTGCCGCAGTGGTCTTCTCGCTGAGGAGCCTGGTCTGGCTGCCTATGACCTGGAGGCTGGTGTTCTCAGGGGACTGTGGCAGGTTCTGGGCTCGGGTAGCCAGCAGGGCATTGAGGTACTGCAGCCGTGTAACCTGGAGGACAGAAGGCGTCACCCGGCAGATGCAAGGTGTGAAGCTAGACGCACTAGGCAAGGCTCAAGAGACAGCCGAACTAGGGGGGCCTCGGGAGGCAGGAAGAGGACAAAGCAAGAACTTGAAGCTAGTTCAGGACAGAGAAGAGCAACCGAGCAAAGTGTGTTTGAGAATTCAAATAGAAACCAGGTGCAGAGGCCTGGAGACAAGACCTGCCCACAGCAGCTGGGGGACCTCCAGCGAGTCAAGGCCTCTGTCCTTCAGGGCAAGTGCAGGCCCTTACTCTAGGCGGTCTTGGAGAAAATGGTTCAGAGTTTACTCTCCATCCATACAAACTTCTCACCAGCTGATCTAGCCACTTGGGGACAAAAAGCCGGTTAAAACCAGCACCAATGAACAGCCCAGGCAGTCACCTTAATGAGCTGCAGATCGGAGAGGGCCCTCACGGTGTAGTCAGGACAATACGAAGAGGAACGGGTGCTGTCAGCTGGCTCGGGCTGCAGGTCATGACGGATGATGGGCTGGCGTGAGGACACTGGGGACTGGTGAACTATCAAAAGGAACAATCAGTGACAGTGGAAACCAGTGCCGGGATCTGGACAGTCCCCCACCCTGGCAGGGATAATTGCACAGCCTCTAGGACCCACCCCATAAAGTGCCCTTGAAAGGGAGTACAGGCAGGAACTGGGAAGCATGGTGAGCACACTTGGGAAAGGCCCTGCAGAGATGGGGGCGAGCAGCAGAGATGATCAGCGCAGAAAGTCTGCCCCTCCCCCTCCGCAGCCCGGAGACGAGAAACCCCTGGGGGTGGCACGGGCTGCGGTGGAAGGGGAGCTGGAATCCTGGGCACTGACCGCAGCAGCAATCGCGGGGTTGCGGGCAGGCTTCGCAAGCCACAACCAGCCCTCAGCTCCAGCAGGGCCATGGCTTACCCGAGGACGGCACCGTCAGGGCAGACACTCCATAGTAGGTGAAGGCCCCATTCTCGAACTTCAGGCCTTCTTTCCCAATCTCCACCTCAACCCTGCCCTGGTAGAGAGAGAAACAGATGTGGACAGATGATCTTTCCCATCAGAAGAGAGTGCAAGAAGACATCAACCCCAGTTACTCAGGGGGGTGGGAACCTGGATGTCCCTGAGGAAGAGGGAGGCTCCGGGCCCAGGAGCCCAGTCACCTGCAGGATGAGAACGAAGTAGTCCACCGGCCGGCTGCGCTGGTACAGGAAATGGTGCGCAGCCAGGCGGTTGCTCCCGTCAAACCTCACTTCCTGGTTGACGCTGGGATGCTTCAGCAGGTGCAGGAGGACCTTCTCAGAGATGCGCTGTGGACTGAACACATCCACCTCTGCCCCATGGTGGAAAAAAGGGACAGTGTCCACCGGAGCCACAGCAGCCTGTGGAACCAGACCCGGCTCCTGCTGCCCGCCTGGGCTCTCCCTGGGGGGGCTGGGAGCTGCTGCCTCAACAGCACAAGACAAGAGGGCCACCACACCTGCCTGTGAGGCTCCCACTCGGCCACCTGGCAGAGCCACCGAGAGCAGCACAGACGTTCTCCTGGAGACTGCCTGCTTGCTAGGAATGCGGAGCAGAGCGTCTGTCCCGGGTGGCCTCCTGACCCCCCGGACGGTGAGCGACAGCAGGGAACAAGGCCCACCCTTCACCCTCACCTCGGGAAAGGAAGCGCTGGGTTGCCAAGAGCAGCTGAGGCGAGATTTTTACTTTATATTCATCGTCAGACACCTTGAACAAGGAGAATTCCTCCTTCCGCTTGACAGGGGCACTCAGAGAAGCAGGCCTCTTCCTCACCGTGGCATCTCCTGGAGTGTGGGAAGACGGCCTGCTCGGGCACCGGCCACACGGCCACACCAAGGCCCCTGCTGCCTGCTCCCCCTCCCAAGGCCCGGCGGCTCTCAGGGAGACAGCGTCAGAGCCACAGGGACACATCCTGGGTACTGCTCCCTCGATGGCACCTTGGCTGCCATTCCCACTGCACAGCAAGCTGGCACCCAGGACGGGGGACAGCGGCCCACACTCCAGAACTATCCCGAAGAAGTGCAGAAGCGGCTGCTCCTTGCCTTGGACTCGGTGAAGAGCAGGCTGATAGGAGAGCAAAGCAGCTCACATAGAACAACAGCCCTCCTTGGCCACTAAGACACCCCTCGCTGGAAAGGGTAGATGTCAGGGTTACTGGTGCGAAGTGGCAGCAGCTAACCTGGTGACCCCAGGCCTATGGCAGTCTCAGGAACCGAACTAAAGATGCTGTATTTGGGGACAGATGCATGTGCAAAGCACACACGGGTGGGCAGCTCAGGGTCCCAAGTGCGTGGGAGAGGCCCCAGCCATGAGGCACCGCCTCTGTGTCTGTCCTGCAGACCTCAGCCACCATCCTAAGAGGCAGACACTTCGAAGACACAATCAAAGGCCCCAGGAGCTGCCTGTGTTGGTAAGACCCTCTCAGTAGTAAAGAACAGGCTCTTTGAGGAGACACTCCTGTCACGAACAAAAGAACCTGCGAAAGCAAAAGCACCAAGACAGAGGATGGGACCAGCCCATGAAGGGCAGGGCTCTTTCTCAGTGCTAGAGGACATTAGCTGCTCCCAGAGCCCCCAGCAAGCATCGAGGTGACGGTGTGAGCCCTGCTGCAAGGGGGACACGCAGGGAGGGGGAGGAGAACGGGGTCTGGCTGGGTAACAGCTCCAGCTGTGGGTCCAGCTGCTTTCCAGCAGCACAGACCCTCTGATGCACACGTGTATCTCACGAAGCTGGAAGGACCACCTGACAGAAAACTGCCAGGAGTCACAACTCACGGTAGTCTTCAGACTCGTCCAGGATCTCGGACTTGACGATCTCTTCGATGACATCCTCCAGGGTGACCAGACCCAGGACCTCGTAGAAGGGGTCACCCTCACCCTCGTTGTTCACCCTCTGCACGATGGCCAGGTGGGACTTCCCTGTGGGGAGGGGATGCTTATGTAACAGCTTGCTGGGGGCTTCCTTTTTTTTTTTTTTTTTTTTTTTTTTTAAGTCTCCCAGGGTACAAGCCCACCAGTGCACAGGAGCTAACGCTGGTGTTCCTACACTGTGCTGGGCACGTGGTCAGACTCTTTTCCTACATTCTGACGACTCTCAACATGCTTCAGGATTAGCCTCACATTACACGTGAGGAAACAAAGCCTCAACAACCATGTTCATCTGCAAGAGCCCCCCAGGCAGGGAGCGGAAGAGCCAGGTCCCTGTGACTCTGAGCCATGGGTGTGGTTCAGACAAGGATGTATCCATCTGAGAACACAAATGCCTTAGGCAGCAACCAGACTGCGGCGGACACATGTCCAGAGACACAGGCTCCCGCAGAATAGTCTAGATCGGGGAGCCAAGAGGGGCCACCCGGACTGACTGTCTGTAGGAGGTTTTCCTAACTCTTAAAGCTGCCCTTCAGGGGGGCATCCAGGGGTGAAGGTAAATGGTAACTGGCCATTCAGAGCCCAAACTGTGTGGGAGGAAGTGCAGGAGGCTGGAACTTTCCACCCTGCTCCGGTGTCCTTCTCATGTTGGCTTCCCATTTGTCTGTTTAGTGAGGAAACGTAAGCATGAAAAAAGCCTAAGTTTCACAGTGTTGGGGAAACTTCAGGAATTTACTCTGTATCAGACGTAAGTGCTTTTCATTCGTAAAACTTTAGACCTGAGAGAACAGAATGCAGGCCACATATGTAATTTAAATTCTGTGAGTAGCCACATTAAAAAGTCAAAAGAAACTGGTGAAAGCAAGTTTAATAATATAGTGTAAGTAACCCAATATAGCCAAATTGTCATTTTAACACATAATCAATATAAAAGTAGTACGGTATTTTACCATTTTTTGCACTAAGTCTCTGAACTCTGGTATGTATTGGACACAGCACTTGTCCATTCAGACTAGTCACCTTTCAAGTGCCCAGCATGGGGGGCAGTGGCTACTGGACTGGGCTGCGCAGCTCTAGGACAGGGAACTGACAGCCACTCATTTCACCAGTGACCTTCTTCATGACCAATGATAAGAGCTCACGGTAAAAGCTGGCCTGGACCTGCACGTGACGGGGCACCTGCTTCAAGAATGTTTAGGGAAATGAAAAAAAACAAACTCAGGTCTTTGTGTGAAGCACACCTTACAGATTGTGGGCTTAAATAAAGCACTGTTCTAATACCCTTGGACAAAAATTAAAGGTGGAAATGACTACGTTAAGTTGTCTCCCCCTTTCCAGGAGGAAAAGGCTGGGGGCCCCTGGCAAAATCCACTCGGTCCTGCCAAGCTGGAGGCTCTGAATCAGGGGCGGCATTCCTAAACGCCTTCCGCCCTGTGTTTGTGCTGGGCACCACTTCTACAAGGGCCACCCCTGCCACGGAACACTAACCTATCAGGCCAGACCAGAAAGGCCAAGGGCGCAACACACAGCTTTGGTCAGCAGTCTTTGGATTCCGGGAGCCAAAGCCCAGGTTCTAAATGGCTGCCTCAGGGCAGAGGCCTCACCTCAGCTCCTGTGGCAGGTTCCCTACAGGAACTAACTTCTTCCTTGTTTTCAAACTTCTGTAACACAGGCACACATTTCTCTGTGATCTGCCACACTGGGAAGATTCCATAACGAACGGAAGAAAGCAGGCCCTTGGAAGATCCCCCAGGACAGGCCATATGATTTAATGTCAAGACAGAAAATCTGAGGGGTCCAACAGGTGACCATGGGAAAGCAGTAGGGGGACACAGAGAATGGGCAGCTGGAGGGATTAAGATTTACTCCGCCTCGGGTTCGATCCCTGAACTGGCCAGCCACCACAAAAATAATAAATAAAAACAATAAAGTTCACTCCTCCTGACAGGAGTGCCACCACTTGCACAGACCTGCCTACTCTCCATGGGGCCCCAGGCAGGTGCCAATGGTGTGTCTCACTGACATCAACCAGAATGCTCTGGAAAAACTCTACAGAGTTTTGAGTTACCAGCCTCAAGGGTACTCCCATTATGTGGCTGGAGGAGGACCCTTTCCTAATGCCTAATTTCTAGGACATTCTGAATATTGCAGGTGGAGTTTAATTTTCTCCACCTCCCCTTCGCTGTCTTCTAAAGCACCCGTGTGAATGTGTACTCTGAGAAAAGTAATGTTCCTCACAGCAACCTGGCTTCCAACAGAATATAAACCAAACCTCAGCTGGCTTAAAGCAGAGACTTTGACAAGCTCACCCACCCTAATCCTTTCTTTGGCTGGATGTCGAATGGTCTTTTTTTTTTTTTTTTTTTTTTTTTTTTTTTTTTTTTTTTTTTTCCTT